CTTGTGTCGTTAAAATTTCACTCGGAACGAAGTTACGAAAAAATCAATTAACAAACGGAGACGTAACAATACCAATTTTAGGAGCTTCAGTCTATGAACCAAGTGAATGGCGATTGTTCATTGATTCCTCCAAAAGAAGTCTGTAAAGTGTTCTCCTTCACAATGGTAACATATATGCATCTGTTCCTATTGCTAATTCAGTTCACTTGAAGGAAATGTACGAAAATCTTGAACTTCTTCTTAATAAGGTCAAATACAAAGAATATGGTTGGCTACTTTATGAAGACTTAAAAGTCCTTTATTGGGTAAACAATCCGGTTATACAAAGTTTCTATGTTTTTTGTGTGAATGGGACAGCAGAGGATGAAATCAGCACTGGATAAAGAAGTAATGGTCATGAAGAGTCAGCCTGATACCAAGATCGAAAAACATTGAACATAAAAGTTTGGTTGACACAAAGAAAGTCCTATTACCTCTACTTCACATAAAACTGGGCTTGATGAAGCAGTTTGTAAAGGCCTTAAACAAAGATGGAGACTGTTTCAAGTATCCATGTGAGCAATTCCCAGCTCTTTCAGAAGCGAAACTTAAAGAAGGGATTTTTGTTGGGCCTCAGATTAGGAAATTGACTTCGGATGAACAGTTTGAAAGGACAATGAGGAAAGTTGAAAAAGAAGCGTGGATTGCCTTTAAAAATGTTATTGACAATTTTTTAGAAACAACAAGGATCCAAATTACGAAAATATTGTCAATAATATGCTCGATAAATTCAAAGTGTTGGATTGTAATATGAGCTTGAAAGTTCATTTCTTACACTCACATATTGACTATTTCCCTCAAAATCTCGGTGTCGTCAGCGAAGAACAAGAAGATAGGTTTCATCAAGACACCAGGGAAATGAACAGAAGGTATCAGTGACGGTTGAACATCAGCATGATGGCTGATTACTTCTGGTCATTGAAACGAGATGCTCCAGACGCAATACATAAAAGAAAGACCACAACACGTGGTTTTGAGACTAAAGACGTAGATTTCGCAAACAAAAAATCAGGATGAATGAGGATGCATATTCGTTTGACATCAGAGGGAACCACGTCTGAGCCAGCTAATACAGAGCAGCTAGCATAACACGACAAGGAGTGGTCTGGGTGAGGGAAATGACCCTGGAAAGTAGTTTGATAGGAAGGTAGACATATTGGTGAAGGCCCCTCCAATCCTGACTGAATGCATCCACCTCCAGAGCCTAGGGGTATGGAACAGGAGAACAAAAGGAATGAAGGTTGGCATCCCAGTGAGTGGCAAACACATCTATATGTGGTTTTCCTAGGTGAGAACACACCTACTGATATACCTGAGGATGAATAGACCACTCCATAGGGCGAACTTGGTTGGGACAAGACAAGCAGTCTGCCACCAGCTTCATAATCCCGAGAACATGACATATTAGACTTGGTTCCCCCTCATATGGTGATATAGCTGATGTCAGTAGAATTGTCGGAATGAACCATAACAACTTGCCCCCACAGGAGTGGGAGGAAATGATACAGAGCCCAATAAATAGCCAAAAGTTCTAAGAGACTGATATGGAAAGTAGTCTCTTCAACTAACCACAGACCAGAAATCTCCCAAGAATCGAGAGAAACCCCATCCCACCAGGGAAGCATCTGTGAACAAATTAGAGTTGGGACAAGGTGTAAGAATGGGAACCCCCACCATGGTCAGTTCCTTGTTAAGGCATCAAGCAAAATCAGCTCTGATCCCAGGGAGAGAGTGATAGGATGGTCCAAGGGATCATGGAAGATGTTCCACTGGTCAAGAAGCATCCACTGAAGGAAACACATGTGCACCCAACCCAAATGAATGAGAGCTTCCAAGGAATTCCACATCCCCCCAAAAGATAAAACCTTTTGCACATCAAGAGAAAGAAAGGTAGGGCCATCACGACTGCCCACTCCATATCCCTAGCCTTCTCTACCTAACTGAGATGGGAATTGAAGAGAATTTCCAAATGAATAAAATATTGGGTGAGGGGTGAGAAGATACTTCACCAGCTTGATGAGAAACCCCACCCAAGCAGATTCTCAAAGAAGTAACCAGGTGTGAGTGACTGATTGAGCCTGGGAAGAGGCAAGCAGTAGCCAGTCATCCATGTTCAAAGACCCAGCAAGTGAAGATGATGTGCAAAAGAGCAGGCTACTCGCCAGAACACATAAGGAGCTAAAGAAAGACCAAATGGTAGTACTCGGAACTGAAAGACACAGCCCTCTTGGATCAACTGAATAAAATGACGTGGCCCTGGAGCTATGGTTCTTCACCTAACAAAGAATAAAGGGCTAAAGGTGAAACATTTAAAATTTGACATACCTGATTAATAAGTGTAGGAAAAGCAAGGTTGGTAAACTCTCCTGACTGTCAGCATTATGTGACTGAGCAAAAAATTTCAGGGCTGGAAAAATAGAGTCCAAATTGTCTTCACCCTGATGAAATTCTTCCTCAGAAGCATATTCAGGAGGAAAAGAAGAATTAACCGACAGCCGAGCAAAGGTGTCCAACTCCCTGCAAATTAAAGCTTGAACTTCGTTGGTAGATATCCTCAACCCACCCTGGTGGAGACTAGTGACATGACTCTCTTCAATATTGGTGGGAACTTCATCATCCACAACAGTAAAAGTCGAATTCATATAATATAAGAAACTTTTGAAAACAAAACTAAACTGGTAAAAGATTGATAAGCAATCACAAACGAAATAACAGGAGTCACATGGAGAGCGAATTACACACTTCAAGACATTGTAATGCTAAGAAAGTGAGGATTGTACTAGAATAGTAGAGGGAGCTACCTGCACTAGTATAGATGGTGCAGTATGATTGGTGGAAGGTCGTCACATGATCAGCACGTTCTGCAATGGTGCAAAAACGAAGGGGTATAAAAAACTGGTGCATGGCCAGGTGGTTAGGGCGCTCAACTCGCAATCTGAGGGTCATGGGTTCGAATCCCTGTCACACCAAACATGCTCGCCCTTTAATTAAGGTGTTCATCAGTGAAAATTGGGGGCATATCATCTGCTGATGGCTCAACCATAAAAAAAAAGTGATAAAAGTTTTAGCAATGCTTAGAGGGCAATCCAAGGTAGTACAATGTTGGAAATCTCATGCAGTTATGAAGACATCTCAATAAAAATAATCTATAATACAACATATCAAAAAGTTCTAATTCGGGAATTTTAAGTGTTAATACAAATGTTGGAAATTATAATGCATTCATATTTCAATTTTTGATGACAAGCTACTAAGTCTTTCACATATAGTACTTTAATGACACACTATTAAAAACTAATAAGCATTTTGGGATACTTCTAAGCTAGTTTACATAATATTGTTGCTGCTTTTTTAAAACAAAATGACATTTCAACATTTGTTTATCATTGGGTTTTAAAAGTAGTTGAACCACAAGCAAGTTTATTTTTTCTCTCTCTCTCTTCAAATTGCCTTTTTTCACTGAGGTATCTTCATAAATAAATGAAAACATTATGAGTATACCCTGGACAGAGTATTTACTACCGTAAATTATTAACCCTACGTGTCAGGTGGGGATCAGAATGTGTATGCTATGACTTTTTACATGACATTATACATTATTGATGTCAAAGTTATCAACTGTTCATTTTCCCCTGCAATGCTGATTTAGCAGTATTTCATGATAAAGGAAAGTAAACAGTTCAGGGATTCTAAAAAAATCCTCTATATATGCATTTTGGAGTCTCTAGAAAGTATGCAAATGCAATATGCAAACTGTACGATGGAGAAAAGTATTTTTATTCTTCACATAAACATCACCTTGCACTCCAACTTGTCAGAGTCCTAGTCAGACTGGCATCATTAATTTACATATCTTGAGTACACATACTTTGATAACATATATGATTCTTTATGTACAACAGATTTGTACGTTCTACTAAAAACTTGCCACATTTCCCGTAAATACACTTAGTAAATTCAGAATTATAGTGAACATTCTTTATGCACATTTGATTAAGATAAAAGTCAAAGTCAGCATTTTTAGTTGTGTACTTATCTTTCTGTTTTCCAGTATCCTGAAATCGGTAGATTTTTCTGACAGTAGAAATGACAGTGAAGCCTACAATACCACAAAATCAGAGCCAGTAACCACCTCAAAGCCTAGTTTAAAAAGGAGCACAGAGAACACTGTTCTTAAAGAGTGTAGCTCTGACTTGTCAGGTAGGTCAAGAATTTAAATAATTCTTCTTATTTTAATCGCTCAGACGAGACTTATACTTTACTAATGTATATAGCAATTTAGTAATTACGAAGCACTGATATTAGCTTATCTAAATAATTAACAGATGTTTTAAGGATAATATTTCATTGACTAATGTATATTTGCTGGTGTTTTAACTTCTGCATTGATTGATATCTTTATACATATGGTCTTGTCCATTTCTGAATAAGTTATTGTATTTGTGTACAAAACTTATCAATCTCTTAATTACCAGAAGTATTGACCTTTGGAGTATAATCACTAAAAATGTTTTTTTAATTAAGGCTTAAATTTGTGCCTGGCCATTATTTTAACATCACAGATTTTGTGGGAGATAACAATAATGAATATATTTTGTTATTTTGTAACTCTCCAGTGTTTAGGGTCAACAGTAGTTAGAAGTGTTGGTCAGCTACAGCTAAATGAAAACATGTATGGTTTTTTGTAGAATACTTTATCTGTGTTATATTTGCTATATTCTGAAAGTCTTTATAAAGAACTGCATGTCTTTTTTACAGATTATATACAAGCTGTTATTGTTACTAAATAACTTACTATTGATCTATTTGATTAAACCAAATGTGTTAAGGTGTTATTGCACAACACAATGCAGACGTACATTTGATGATTATAGTTCGCATTGTAATATATGTGTATGTATATCACAGATTATTGATTTTGTTAATATTTACATAACAGTTAGGACAATATAATTGAAAGCATCACTAATCTTGAACGTCTGAATTATACGTTCATTTCTCAACACTTCTTTTTTTGTTTGGTTATTTTGCGGCCGTGACATCATAGGTATATCTGTGACTATCTGTTTATTACATTTGTTTTTGTTTTATTTTATTTGACAATTATATTTCATAAACATGTGCATTCTACATCTAGCTAGTTTTTTTCTATTTACTGTTGGGAGAATAGTGGCTCATTTGAATTTCCCTTTGCTACTTTATATCCTATAGATATTAGACTTCAATGCTAAACAAGGTAAAAGCGGTCAACCTCCAGTTAGCAAAAATTGGAGTTAAACAACACTCTTTTGAGCATTTTATAATCAACTGACCTTGTAATATATATTTTTTTAACAATAATCTCTTCATACCACTTAAGTAGCTGATGATTAAAACTAATTTCACTCACAATGGTCTGGAAATCTGCCTATAGTTTGGAGTATTAGGTAAATTGTCAGTTTTAGTAAAATGTTTTTGGCATCAGCATCATTGCATCAATCTTCCTTTATTTATTTTTTATAAATAAACTGTTTGTTTTCTTTGTTTGTTAATAATAACAAAGCTACACAATGAGCTACCAATGAGTATCGAAATTTCGTTTTTAGCATTATAAGCCTTCAGACTTGCCATCGTGCCATTGAGAGAGCTGTCTGCCTGTGATTAAGTTTTCTAATTCCCACTCTCAGAATTTTAATATTTTCTTGCAGGTTCTTCTTCCACTCAAAAAACGATATACTGCCTTTAATTGCTGTTCTCAGAATTTTAATCCTTTCTTGCAGGTTCTCCATCTCATAAAAAGAACAATATTCCATCTCCATTTCAGACTGTTGAAACATTTGGCTCTCTCTTAGGAGAAGAAATTGTGTCCACATATACTAGCATAGTGAAAAAAGACTCTCCATCTACACTCAATCCATCTCAGGATATATTCCCTGACACAGAACAGTCCATGAATGACACCAAATCCAGCCCTTCAAGAGATAGCTTCAAATCTAATGTTTTCCCCTTTAATCACGTAACTTTAGACAAATTCCAAGAATGCCTGACTCAATGTATGGAAAAGTATGTTGATGAAACATTGAACACGTTAAACATTTCTCGATGCGTACGAGAATTGTTGAGCATGAACAACATAGGGCAGCGGGTTTTTGCTAAATTTGTGCTCGGACTTTCTCAAGGCACGGTCAGTGAACTGCTTTCAAAGCCAAAGCCTTGGGAAAAACTAACAGAAAAAGGAAGAGACTCCTACAGAAAAATGCATGCCTGGGCTTCAGATGATAAGTGTATCTATATGCTGAGAGCCTTGGTACCCAAGAAAGGTTGGTTATTGGAATTTATCTTTCTTTACTTTGATTAGCTCTTTAACTTAGTGTTTTAATTCCTATATATCAAAAGAACATTCGTCTATATTACTTAAATAGTTTGGCATAAAATAAGAGAGAACCAGGTGCTTTGGTGTTAAAGATCACATGATACTGAATAATTCAATTTTATCCAAAGATCAAGGCACAGAATGAAAAAAAAAAATAAGTACCCCTTTTTTATAATTGTAAACTATCAAAAATGGATATGAAAAAATTGTCATGATAATATGAGAAAAAATAAGTATTCTAACTTTTTCTCATGCTTTTTATTTACCTTGTCAAAACAAAATGATAACGTTTTCCTATCAAGCACAAGGAAGTATGAATATTTACTGGAAGTATACTTGTCCAAAATATTACACTAATTTTCCTAGATGTTTGGTACACTTTTTCAAGACGTGCAGTATAATTTTTTTTAGGTATTATAATGTGTATTTCAGGAATAGAAGTAATAAAATTAAACTAACTAATTGTGGAACAATATAAATTAATAAATACTGGCTTTAATCAAAACTTCTTAAGGCAACAAAACAAATATAAAAAATTGTTTATACCTTCTCTTTTACATTGTCTCTTAAACATAGGTTTTTGTTGAAACTCGGATTATCAGTTAATGGGATGAGTTCATTTAATTCTGTAGATACTGAGCTACTAACAAGTACGAGAAAGCTTTAACTACTTTGCGTCGACATCAAATGATGATTGTATAAATGGCAAGTTATTCTTAAAACATTCTTTCAGCTTAACATAATCAGAAATTCATTTCTTGTTATATATATAACTTTTCCCCCCAGATGAACTGTGATGTGTCACAAATTTATGATAATATTTTATAGATAACACTAGTTAAGGATACATTTAAGGCCCTCTCGGATATACTAGCAGAGAAGTTGGTGCAGGGAGACTTTCTTCAATATGGTTTTCATTATGGATTGATGTGTTACAAGTAGTATGTTTGTGCTAATGAAGATTTTTCGTGAATTTCAGGTGGTAATCAGCATATATTTTTTATTATACATTTTGACACAACAATATCATATGTTTTAACATAGCTGCACCAATTCAGACATCAGTATTTCAACACAACAATACCATATGTTTTAACATAGCTGCACCAATTCAGACATCAGTATTTCAACACAACAATACCATATGTTTTAACATAGCTGCACCAATTCAGACATCAGTATCATATGTTTTATCATAGCTGCACCAAGTCAGACATCAGTATTTTGGCACATCAGTATCATATGTTTTATCATAGCTGCACCAAGTCAGACATCAATATTTTGACACAGCAATACCATATGTTTTAACATAGCTGCACCAAGTCAGACATCAATATTTTGACACATCAATACCATATGTTTTATCATAGCTGCACCAAGTCAGACATCAATATTTTGACACAACAATACCATATGTTTTATCATATCTGCACCATTTCAGACATCAGTATTACCAAAGATTTTAGATTACAATTACCGGTGATATGCTCTTTTATGTACATTGATTAGAGCATACCAAATTTGACAGTTAATGTATATAGCCAGGAACATTTCTGAGAACAAGAATTAACATATCAAAGTAAAGTTCAATTAATAGTATATCTTTATTACCTTATGGCATAAACCCAGTGGTATTCACAACTGCCTTTTAATTTCTAATGCTTTTAGATCATTGAAGTAGATCTGCTGGAACATGTTGTTATTAAGACACATGAAACAGGTTTACACTACATTGAAACCATTTTATTGGAAAACTTTAGGTTCTGTTCTGAGATTAATCATCTGGCTAACTGAACATCTTCATTTTTTGTGCTACTTTTGTTCCTCCCCACATTTCAAGGATTCATTTATTGATAATTATTGTTTCGGCTTACCTTGTTTAATTCCAGGATGATATAATATGGAAAACAGTGATATTTTCTAATGTTTTTTTTTGTCAGATATTATAGATAATTTGTTTAATAATTCCTACAAAGAGAGAAAGAACAAAGGCAACTTAAAGATAATAATAATAATAGATTTTTTGAAAGTACCACATAGCAAAGAATGAACTAAAGCAGTGTTTCTCAAACATTTTAGGTCATGCCCTCCCATTTTCCTCTGTAATATGCTTTGCTCCCTCTTGAAAAAAAGTTCAACTCACTTAAACCATCATATATGTACAGCCAATGATTATAAGGCTGAGCTTAGCTTTAAAAAAACGAAAAATGACAGACAAAACGTTTCCCTGACTCTTCTCAAACACACCTCAAAATATAGTCGTGCCCCCACAGTTTGAGAACCACTAAACTATAGTAACTTAACAGATGTAAAGAATAAAAATAACATATCATTCTCATTAACTACCTGTCAAAGCAAGCCACCTACTATGTTAGAAGTTATAATTTTTCCTATACTGAAAATGTATTTCTGATAAGTACTTACCTCCTTTCACATAAGTAGCTATTCTCGTTTCAGTGCTGCCCTCTATATGCAAATATTTTTTGCACCCCACAAGCTTTAAAACTCCCACCCATCTGGAAATGAATAATTCCAGTGCATCTCACATGCAAATTATCATTTGACAAACCTCCACCAATAATAGCACGACATACTCTCTTGAGGCATGTGACTCCCTCTATTCAATTCTACCAAACTATCACTTCAAGTGTTGGCAGAAAATGAAAGCACTGGTTTTCAGTGGGGAGGAATGGTGGGAAGTGTGAGAGGAGGTAAGTACCTATCAGAAATACATTTTCACTATAGGAAAATTAAACTTCCAATATGGTACCTTATCTCCTCTCACATAAATAGCTAGAATCCCACATTGAATAGGTGGAGGGCCCAGTTCTAAGACAAAGAAAGACGCCTCCTTCAAAAGCATCCTAAGGACACTCCCCAAATGGAGATCTTCAGAGTTGAAGATCATACATGGGAGACTGCACCACTTCTAACCCAGGTATACTCTTTGCCCATTGTGGAAAGATGTCGCATATATGGGTGGAAAAATGGAGGAGTACATCCAAATGGGAGAGAACCATGGCAGGATAGTGATCCAAACCATACATTATTTATTAAACTCAATCCTGGAAAACATAAAAGTGGGTAAGATTAAAGTATGTGCCCCTAAGTGTAAGATGGCTAGGGCGTGATGGGCTGGACACTGCAAGTCAATCACATCCAAAACCAATGCTACTGGGAACCAACATCCACATGGGGGTAGGACAAGGATCATACCATCAGTAAATCAATTACAATCCAAACCCAGATCACCAGGAAACCAACATCCAAGTGGGGGTAGAAAAGAGGATCATTACCAGTGGTAAGTCAACTACAATCCAAAACCCAGCCATCTGGTGAGGGTAAGAAAGAGGAACACACCATCTTCACTTCAAGTTCATGAGACTTGAGGGAATCTCATACCCCTGACCTATAAACACGCACATGATAACAATGCAATTGAATGGTTGATCCAGGAACCCGACATCTGGCATATAAAAAAGTCTGTAATGTAAACCATCTCACACAAATATATAATGACCAGAACCACGTCAAGTGTAGTAAAATCCTCAGAATAATAAGCATTGAAGGATAGCAGAAAGGGAAGAACTGTAGTAATCTGCAAGTATCTCCACCATGACGTACAACATGAGTGGAGAAACAAGAGTATAAATCAGTGAGGGAATAGAGACATGTGTAATACATGTGTGAGGACTTATGTTGATTGGTTTGGCTGTAAATGCAAAACTCAGCCACTGGGAACTGACATCCACAATGGGGTAGGATGAGGGATCCCATTCGAAGGGATGAACTGCAGTTTTGACAGCTCACTCCCATGTTACATAGTGGAGGATATCATGTCATTTACATCAGCAGAACACCACCACCCTACTCTCAACTGAATGGTTTTATAATTATATATTATTTGTATTTCATTAACACATTCAGGAAGATGACTCCATGGTCCACCACCCCAGTGGCTTAGAACTGAAAAATGATAAAGACTCTCAAACTGCACTAGAAGAAAAGTGGGAAAAAGTGTGTTGGAGAGTCTGGAGGAATGACATCACCTGAGACAGTGCAATTTATGGATTTATTCAATACAAGGCATGGCAGGGATGGGTAGCTATCCCCTACTGCTTTACTTGTGTAGTCCATGGGTGAGCATGTTCCAGGACAGACAAACTTATAAAGCAAACCTATTGTGAGGATAAACATACAAATGATATTGTGGAACACTCCATCTCTGCAGTGTAAGTTGCATGGCCATTGAAATATAATATGTAAGTCAACATGGTCTTACAGTGTGGATTTGATTGGTTAAAGAATACCTGGTCAGGCATCACTTGCCACAGAGCGGGATCCAGACAATGATTAGCAACAAAAAATAAAATGGGAAAAAAAACCCTGAAAAGGAAGAAAAGAGTAATAAAAGATAACTTACCCAGTAAAAGTCTCACTGAAATCTAAAGAATGGCTACAGGCAGAAGACGATAACCCAGAGATGAAGATACCACAATCCTATGTAAGTAGTGAGAGACGAACATATGAGGGGTAGTCCACATGCCCAATTGAAGAATTTCCTCCAAGAGATGACAAAGATGAGATGCCAATGAAAATGTAAGGTGTCATATTTGATGAGAAGACACCCTGAACAAAGTACGGGAGGAGGACGATAAAGAACAATAAACCAGTCAAATTAAAAGTCAAACCCAATTTGTGAGAGTGGAAGGAGAAAGCTCACAAACAGAGGAAGGCTGTCAATAAATAAAGAGGTAGGAACAGGCACCATGGACAGAAGCTGTGCTGGCAATATAACAGTGAAGAGCACTTACAGGACATAGAAGTCTATCTAGATCAGACTGAGGATAAAGGTGGGAAATGGAAGGAACGGAAATCGGTGAAAAGGGGGAATTACCCTCTCGAGCTGCTAAAGTTTTGGGAGGACAGAATGATCTGTATAAAAGATAATATATGTGGAATGATAAAGAGTATGTGAAACATCAATGGCAAATAAATCTGACCTCCAATGTTTACAGGCTAAGAGGAGAAAGAAATAAGTCTTAAGGGAAAGGTGAAACAAGGAGCATGTGGAGTGGTTTGAATGAAGGCAAAGTGAAGCAGTGATGGACCACATTAACATCCCAATCTGGAAGAACATCCTGCTGAGGCGGACGACGAGTCCTATGGTATCATAAAAAAATGAAAAGTGTGGGACAAGGCCTTCCAATAATCCGAGATTGAGGAGACAGAAGACCCCTGATGAAAAAGCCAAGTTAGGAAATTTGCAATATGAGGAACAGAGGGTTGAGCAGGTGAAAATCCTTGACCCAAAGACAGCAGAAAATGTGCCATTTATGTTGATAACCTTCCCTGGAGAAAGTGAGAGTGGAACTAGCTAGAAAATAAGCTATCCATCAAGACAAGCCAGATCTCCTCACCAAGAATCGGATAAAATCCAGGCATGAAAACAAAGGATAGGAAGGACTGGATGAAACACCAGTGACTAAGTGGACAAAGAAAGGATGGGGTAAGAGTAAGAGGAAACAGGGATATTTGAAACAATTCCCTCGGATAAAACCCGAATAACCCATGGATCTGTGGCGAAAGGTTGCCAAAGGGGAAAAATTCGGACAATCGAGCTCCCACTGGGTAGTCACTGTTATTACTGCTTACACCGTGCCCATTTATGTTGAATAAAATGATGAGATGAGAAACACCTGGATAGAGGAACAGGTAAAGTCTGAGAAGGACTAGGACGGGAAACAAGAATAGGGCTTGTCTGAGCTCTGACTGCAACAATTGTGCAACCAAAGAGGAAAGGGTAGAGTTTTGACACTCAGACTCCACACGTGATTCCAAATTCTCAGAAAAGGGACCATTCATAAATCCCTAAGATAAGGGGTGGTAAACGAATCTGGGACATATCCACATTTTGATCCAGGAGATCCCAATAACAGAGAAACCAAGTGTGTAAAGCTGAAAATGACAATTGAGCCAACATGAAGGTAATTAGGGAGAGGCTTTCCCTCTAAAAAACCCTCATTATCTCTGTGGATCATCTCAGAAAGGAGATGGATAGTAGATAAATACTGTAGAAAGGAAGTAAGAGTAAGATGAAGGCAGAAAAACTATGTATGGAAAAATGCACGGGAAAACCAGTGACCACTCCCACAAAAGTAAAAATCGACTCCAACTGCTGAGAGTCGAGAAACAGACAGTCAGCCTGATGGTAAGCTAATGTAAACTGATCCGTAGCAATTGGAGGGCTAGGCATGCTGGCATCCTCAACCAATTGTGAAGCAAATTGCTCAGCATGAACAATAATATCCAGGGTGGGTGGGAAAACTAAATACTGAGATGAAGAAGTATCATGAAACAAAAAAGGATGGGTATCATAAGAAATCAGAGAAATGGACAAAACATTACGTACCCGAAAAATCATGTCTAAAAATGCCGTATTAGGCCTAGCTGATTCCGTAGGTGGGGCATAGGAAGACACGGTAAAATCCAGTGGTGGAAAAAGGCTATCAAAATCCTTTCGGGCCCAAACATATTCAGCTTATTCAGGAGAAAGTGGGACAAGCTCAGGAGAAGGAGGTTTTCCATATAACGATCAATCTCATGGCGGATGATTGCAGATAAATCCAAAGATGGGTCTCCCCTACCTGCAGCTTGTGAGATAGTGCTGTATGAGGTATTATACACAAAGTGGTAACATAAACCTCAGAATTCAGTTGAAATATAAATCAAACAAAAGTGTTCGATGGATAAAAATTCGAAAGTGAGAACAAATAAAGACTGGGAAATTAAGTTAACTGAAAAATTCTTCCACTATGTAAAGATAAAAAAATAATTGAATGAAGAGATTCCACTTCGGAAATTAAACTATTAAAAGTCATGAATTCGAATCATATAAAGAGCATTAAAACAAAAAACATCTTGAGACGAGTATTGCCAATTGAGAAGTGATAGTTTGATAGTAGAATTAAATAGAGGGAGTCACATGTATCAAGAGAGTGTGTCGCACTCTTATTGGTGGAGGCTTGTCACGTGATAATTTGCATGCGAGATGTATTGGAATTAGTCAATTCCAAATAGGTGGGAGTTTCAACGCTGTGGCGTTCGCAAAACTTATTTGCATATAGATGGCAGCACTGAACAAGAATAGGTAATGAGAGGAGGTAATGTACCGTATCAGAACTGAGATTTAACACAGGTCTGCAGATTTAAACTTCATAAAAATTGTTTTGGTTTTCATAATGGATTTTCTATAATTCACTACGCAGATTTAAAAAATAACATTAATTTTTTCTATCATGTAAGAATTTGTTACAAATCGGGGAAAAATACTCTTATTTAGATCAAATTATTATTTCGTTTACCACAATGAACATTTTTGATGATTATGTTTGTCAACAAAAATGGAAATAAACTGAAGAAAAGAACATTGATGTCAAACGAAATATGCGTCCTCATTCATCCTGATTTTTTTGTGAAATCGACATCTTTTAGTCCCAAAACTTTTACGTATTGCGTTATGACGTTTTGTGAAAAATCTGTACGTGATTCATATCATTTTCGGATTCAGCATACAAGAATTACTGTAGGACATGTAAAAAGTTCAAGACAATAAAACCATCGCAGGCCTGTGTAATCAATATAGCTAACTTAATATGCCATAACTCCTAACTAAGTGTATGTGCAAAGTCATAAAACGAAACTTAATAGTGATTAGAATGCAATGATTCATCAACTGAGTATCTTTGGTGTTAGTGATGTTGTCGGCCATAATCCCAATATATGCAATGAAGTTCCTAAGGAACGGGAGATGTATATACATATACATCTACAAAACATAATACAGTATATACTCATATAGCAGGTACTTCACAAAATTATTTAATTTATGAACTTCTCTGTTATTTTCATAATGAGCAGTCACTATAGAGAAGTG